GCCAAGAAATTCTGCTGACGCTTTGTTGACACACCTACACTATAAGCTTGTGTGTATTAGTGTGTCTGTGTTTTACTAAAATGACCACTTGTTTGTTGCTTTGTTACGATCTCAGAGATCAAAATCAAATCAGTTGCTGTTCAGCTTTTGTAGAAGCAAGATCACGTTGCGGATTTTTTTTTTGCTTATGATTTTTTCTCTTTTATTACACCTAGCAAAATGTTTGATATAAATTGGGAAAATGATTTCTTTTTTATAGAAAACATGGACGGTGAGGCACAATGCGTCGTATGTTATAAAATTATATGTAGAAAAGCTTTATTTTTTTTGAAAAGGCATAATGAAACTTGCCATGGACCCTTAAATGACCTTAGGGGACATGACAGAAAAGTAAAGTTGGTGACTTATTGCGTATTAAGGAATATAAAGGAAACATTGATTTGGATAGATTAGTTGAACTTTAAATTAAGTTCAGTTAATATCTCGGTAATATCCCTTAAAAGTTCGAAATCGAATAGAAAGTCGTGATTTTCTTAATGATATTTCAGTAGTTTTATTTAATACTACTTTTTAAAAATACTACTACTTTTCTTAAATGAAAAACTCTTTCCCTTTATTCCATTTTTGTTTAAAATGCCCAAAAGTTCATGAGTTTTTCTCGTCGTAAAAAGTATTTGCAATAGAAAACAAATTTCAAAACTTTTCTCAGTGTACCACCATTTTGTTATAACGTGCAGTCATCTCTCTGCTGCTTAACGCACACAAATATACACATGGTGGTATGTGTTTGCCCATGACTGTTCTAAAGTCTTGACTAAAGAGCATTCTGTAGTCCTGACTATAGATATGTCTATATCATTGTCTATAGAGAAGTCTATAGTATTGACTATAGGGTCTTGACTATGGAGCAGTATGTAGTCTTGACTATAGACTGGAGCAGTATGCAGTCTTGACTATATAGAAGTCTATGGTCTTGACTATAGAGCAGTCTGTAGTCTTGACTATAGACCAGTCTGTAGTCTTGACTATGGAGTAGCTATAGTCTTGGCTATAGAGAAGTCTATAGTCTTGATCATAGACTAGTCTATAGTCTTGCCTATAAACCAGTTGAGTCAGTTTGATTGTTTTAGTATTAGTATATCTTGGAAATAAAATAAACTTTTTAGCACTTAATATTTTGATTCAAAATCTATTGTATTTTAACTGAAATAAAGAGACCTTTAAGATGTACATTTATATAAGGTGCCTTTGTTTTAAGTTCGTAGGTTGAAATTTATGTACATATGTATTTTCTAAAAATATTTTATAATTTTGTTCAATAATTCTTTTTTACGTCATATTGATTTCATAAATTTGTATTATAAAATTGATTTATAAAATTAATGATGAAATCTAATAACAATTTGATGTGGAAAACTGGAAAATTATATTAGAAAAAATAAATGAAATTTCTTTGAAATTACCACCCATGGCTATAAACAAGAAATTTTATTGAAAATGTAACGATAAAAATGAAAGATACTTAGATAACGAGAAAAAAATAAATTTTAAACTACATAATAGTTCAATATGTTGAATATGAAAAGTCTGTTAAATCAGATTTGATGTTGACACAAACTAGTAAAAATTTACAAAATTATTCTTCAAACTAAATTTCAATGTCATAATAAATAAAGAATTTGAGAATTTCAACAATGATTTTACTACAGAAGTTCTTAGTAGTTTGCAAACTGTTAACATAAACATTTAAATACCTTCTAAATCATTCTATGATAGATAAAACGATATAGAGAAAATTTTCCAAAACAGCTGTTACATAGACGAGTATAAAATAAATATAACATTTAAACGCAACTATTAAAGCTAAAAATATTTAAAATTTCCTACAAATGATCTCATAAATTGCACAAAAAGTGTTCTATTCCCTTGACACCTAGACGTATGAGTAATAGTCAATGCCAAAAAACACTCATTCGTTAAGTAACACTAATTCTTAATTTTGGGTTGTATAAACGTTTCCGTTTTGTTCTTATAAATTATTAAATTTTTAATTTTACTCGTAAACACATTGAGTGATGAATTCGTTTGATTTAAGAGCTGATTTGTTTTTTGTTAATTCTCACACACAATTTAATTCCATTTAACACTTCAAACTCACAGCTGTTGGGGAAACTTTATAAATTTTGTATTAAGATAATAAATATATAATTATTTGTGTATACCACGCTCTTTCTAGTGTAGGCATACTGAAATAATTAGACTGGATTTACGAAAATTAATTATAAAGGAGAAAATTCTCTACAAAAGGAAGAAGTTAACGAAAATTCTCTTTTTTAAAGAACTTTCGATAAGTCCCCTTTTTTGGAATTTGGATATTCTCTATTTTTTATGGAGAATTATTGATAAATTCTCTTTTTATAGAGAATTTTCGATAAATTCTCTTTTTATTAATATTTTTCGATAAATTCTCTTTTTAAAGAGAATCTTAGATACATTCTCACTTTATAAAGAGTTTTCGATAATCTTTCTCTTTATAGAGAATTTCTGATAAATTCTTCTTTTTAAGAGAATTTCTAATAAAGTCTCATTTTATAGAGAATATCTGATAAATTCTCTTTTTATAGAAATTTTTCGATAAATTTTTTTCTAAGAGAATTTTCGATAAATTCTCTTTTTATAGAGAATTTTCGATAAATTCTCTTCTTATAGAGAATTTTCGATAAATTCTCTTCTTATAGAGAATTTTCAATAAATTATCTTTTTATAGAGAATTTTCGATAAATTCTCTTTTTATAGAGAATTTTCGATAAATTCTCTTTTTATAGAGAATTTTCGATAAATTCTCTTTTTATAGAGAATTTTCGATAAATTCTCTTTTTATAGAGAATTTTCGATAAATTCTCTTTTGATAGAGAATTTTCGATAAATTCTCTTTTGATAGAGAATTTTCGATAAATTCGCTTTTTATAGAGAATTTTCGATAAATTCTCTTTTTATAGAGAATTTTCGATATATTCTCTTTTTATAGAGAATTTTCGATAAATTCTCTTTTTATAGAGAATTTTCGATAAATTCTCTTTTTATAGAGAATTTTCGATAAATTCTCTTTTTATAGAGAATTTTCGATAAATTCCCTTTTTATAGAGAATTTTCGATAAATTCTCTTTTATAGAGAATTTTCGATAAATTCTCTTTTTATAGAGAATTTTCGATAAATTCTCTTTTTATAGAGAATTTTCGATAAATTCCCTTTTTATAGAGAATTTTCGATAAATTCTCTTTTTATAGAGAATTTTCGATAAATTCTCTTTTTATAGAGAATTTTCGATAAATTCTCTTTTTATAGAGAATTTTCGATAAATTCTCTTTTTATAGAGAATTTTCGATAAATTCTCTTTTTATAGAGAATTTTCGATAAATTCTTTTTATAGAGAATTTTCGATAAATTCTCTTTTTATAGAGAATTTTCGATAAATTCTCTTTTTATAGAGAATTTTCGATAAATTCTCTTTTTTAGAGAATTTTCGATAAATTCTCTTTTTATAGAGAATTTTCGATAAATTCTCTTTTTATAGAGAATTTTCGATAAATTCTCTTTTTGTAGAGAATTTTCGATAAATTCTCTTTTCATAGAGAATTTTCCATAAATTCTCTTTTCATAGAGAATTTTCCATAAATTCTCTTTTCATAGAGAATTTTCCATAAATTCTCTTTTCATAGAGAATTTTCCATAAATTCTCTTTTTAAAGAGAATTATCGATAAATTCTCTATTTATAGGGAATTTTTGATACATTTTCTTTTGATAAAAAGAAAAGAGAATTTTCGATAAATTCTTTTTTTGAGGAACATTTTCGATAACTATAGAGAATTCTTGTTATAGAGATAAATTCTATTCTAATATAATAGAGAGTTTTCGATAAATTCTCTCTTTATAAAGAATTTTCGATAAATTCTTTAAATTTTCTTGGGTGGAAAATTTCCATTAATATTATCTATTTATATAACATTTTCTTTATATAGAAAATTTTCGTGATAATATTTCTTTTAAAATTAACTTCTATAATTTCTCTCCTTTTATTGGAGCCTCCTTTAAATAGACTCCTAAATCCTTTTCAATGACACAATTAGAGTTCTCTTGAGTATCATAAAAAATTAAGCAAAATCAATGTCAGTGTAACGACTAGTTACTCTTTAAAAACAACAATAACAACATCAATTCATCATCTAAAACAATATGGATGCGATGATTGTAAAAGTATGTGTGAGCATAAAACCGCAGCACACACATACAACAAAAACGGCTCCACTAAGTAAATCAACGTTATTTTTCTTTTCTTTGTATTAATTTGTTGTTATTTCACTTATTTTGATTTTATACACAATTTTCTAACATATTTACACATACAAGATGATTGGCTCTTATTTCTTTGTTTCCACTTTTTTTCTATAGAAAAAATTCAATTTGCAAGATTTTGTTCACTATAATATTTTCACTTTTTCCTTTAGTTATGGAAAACAAAATGATAATTTTTAAACATGAAGTTTGTGTTTTGTTGCGTATTTAACAAGTGATGACAACCAAAAGCTATGAAAACACTTTACAAACTGAAGTATTTGTGCAGATAACAAGCATATATCAAATGGTGAATGGGCAAAATACAAAATACAAAAAAAAAACGAAACATAAACACACAAAATACCAACAAAAAATAAAAAATACTAATATAAAAAAAGGCGCCAAAATGTCTAGAAAAAACAAGAAGCAACAAGTTTCTGGAAAAAAAGGAAAATTTATCGAAACAACTTTATCATAAAATTTTTGCTAACAACAACAATGTTGCTATTGATGACAATGTTTACAAAAGTATTAATCACTAAAAATGTTGCTAAACATTTCTTTATAAACATAAATGCGTATTTATTCTTTTAGCAGCAGAGCAGAGTTAATTTTACATTTCCTTTTATGTTTTCATTTTTAACTTCTTTTTTTTAAACTTACCGTTAATGCTATGCCCACTGTAGCAGAAAATGAACCCAAACGAAATTCTCCTGTATTGTATTTAACCAGAAATGAAGTTTTACCAACTCCAGAATCTCCCAGCAATATAGTCTAAAAATAGTTGTTAAGAATGAAAACTTTATATTATTTATTTGCTAACATATTTATTAATGGGGATGGGATATTAAAGTTAATTTATATTTTATAATCTTAACTACAACGGGATTTATTAAGTTTTAAGCGAATGGTTGTTAAAGCAACAGCAGGAGGTCTATAAGTTTAAAAAAGGGGGATGAAGATGCAAGAGGAAAATAAATAAAGTTTTTAAATTTTGTGGTTATATGAAGTATTTACTTGTACTGGGATGTTTGCACTATGGGCAAAAACAATCCATTTTTCAATAAAATTTTCCTTAAATTTTCTTATTATAGAAAATTTTCTATTTTTTAGAAAATTTTCGATAAATTTTTATAGAAATAAATTTCTTTTTTATAGAAAATTATCAATAAATTTTCTTTTTATAGAAAATTTTCGATAAATTTTCTTTTTATAGAACATTTTCGATAAATTTCCTTTTTATAGAGAATTTTCGATAAATTTTCTTTTTATAGAGAATTTTCGTTGAATTTTCTTTTTATAGAGTATTTTTGTTGAGTTTTCTTTTTATAGAAAATTTTCGATAAATTTTCTTTTCATAGAAAAATTTCGATAAATTTTCTATTTATAGAAAATTTCGATAAATTTTCTTTTTATAGAAAATTTCGATAAATTTTCTTCTTATAGAAAATTGATTAATTATAAATTTTCTTTTATAGAAAATTTTCGTAAAATTTTTTTTATAGAAAATGTTCGTTTTCTTTTTATAGAAAATGTTCGTTAAATTTTCTTTTTATAGGAAATTTTCGATAAATTTTCTTTTTATAGGAAATTTTCGATAAATTTTCTTTTTATAGGAAATTTTCGATAAATTTTCTTTTATAGGAAATTTTCGATAAATTTTCTTTTTATAGGAAATTTTCGATAAATTTTCTTTTTATAGGAAATTTTCGATAAATTTTCTTTTATAGGAAATTTTCGTTAAATTTTTTTTATAGAAAATTTTCGTTAAATTTTCTTTTTATAGAAAATTTTCGTTAAGTTTTCTTTTTATAGAAAATTTTCGTTAAGTTTTCTTTTTATAGAAAATTTTCGTTAAATTTTCTTTTTATAGAAAATTTTCGTTAAGTTTTCTTTTTATAGAAAATTTTCGTTAAGTTTTCTTTTTATAGAAAATTTTCGTTAAGTTTTCTTTTATAGAAAATTTTCGTTAAATTTTCTTTTTATAGAAAATTTTCGTTAAATTTTCTTTTTATAGAAAATTTTCGTTAAATTTTCTTTTTATAGAAAATTTTCGTTAAATTTTCTTTTTATAGAAAATTTTCGTTAAATTTTCTTTTTATAGAAAATTTTCGTTAAATTTTCTTTTTATAGAAAATTTTCGTTAAATTTTCTTTTTATAGAAAATTTTCGTTAAATTTTCTTTTTATAGAAAATTTTCGTTAAATTTTCTTTTTATAGAAAATTTTCGTTAAATTTTCTTTTTATACAAAATTTTCGTTAAATTTTCTTTTTATAGAAAATTTTCGTTAAATTTTCTTTTTATAGAAAATTTTCAATAAATTTTCTTTTTATAGAAAATTTTCAATAATTTTCTTTTTATAGGAAATTTTCGATAAATTTTCTTTTTATAGGAAATTTTCGATAAATTTTCTTTTTATAGGAAATTTTCGTTAAATTTTTTTATAGAAAATTTTCGTTAAATTTTCTTTTTATAGAAAATTTTCGTTAAATTTTCTTTTTATAGAAAATTTTCGTTAAATTTTTTTTTTTATAGAAAATTTTCGTTAAATTTTTTTTTTTATAGAAAATTTTCGTTAAATTTTCTTTTTATAGAAAATTTTCGTTAAATTTTCTTTTTATATAGAAAATTTTCAATAAATTTTCTTTTTATATAGAAAATTTTCAATAAATTTTCTTTTTATATAGAAAATTTTCAATAAATTTTCTCTTTATATAGACAATTTTCAATAAATTTTCTTTTTATATAGAAAATTTTCGATAAATTTTTTTTTTTTATATAGAAAATTTTCGATAAATTTTCTTTTTATATAGAAAATTTTCGATAAATTTTCTTTTTATATAGAAAATTTTCGATAAATTTTCTTTTTATAAATTTTCTTTTTATAGGAAATTTTCGATAAATTTTCTTTTTATAGGAAATTTTCGATAAATTTTCTTTTTATAGGAAATTTTCGATAAATTTAAATTTTTGATAAATTTTCTTTTTATATAGAAAATTTTCGATAAATTTTCTTTTTATATAGAAAATTTTCGATAAATTTTCTTTTTATATAGAAAATTTTCGATAAATTTTCTTTTTATATAGAAAATTTTCGATAAATTTTCTTTTTATATAGAAAATTTTCGATAAATTTTCTTTTTATATAGAAAATTTTCGATAAATTTTCTTTTTATATAGAAAATTTTGAATAAATTTTCTTTTTATATGGAAAATTTTGAATAAATTTTCTTTTTATATAGAAAATTTTGAATAAATTTTCTTTTTATATAGAAAATTTTCGATAATTTTTCTTTTTATATAGAAAATTTTCGATAATTTTTCTTTTTATATAGAAAATTTTCGATAAATTTTCTTTTTGTATAGAAAATTTTCGATAAATTTTCTTTTTGTATAGAAAATTTTCGATAAATTTTCTTTTTGTATAGAAAATTTTCGATAAATTTTCTTTTTGTATAGAAAATTTTCGATAATTTTTCTTTTTGTATAGAAAATTTTCGATAAATTTTCTCTTTGTATAGAAAATTTTCGATAATTTTTCTTTTTGTATAGAAAATTTTCGATAAATTTTCTTTTTATATAGAAAATTTTCGATAAATTTTCTTTTTATATAGAAAATTTTCGATAAATTTTCTTTTTATATAGAAAATTTTCGATAAATTTTCTTTTTATATAGAAAATTTCGATAAATTTTCTTTTTATATAGAAAATTTTCGATAAATTTTCTTTTGTATAGAGAAATTTTCGATAAATTTTCTTTTGTATAGAAAATTTTCGATAAATTTTCTTTTTGTATAGAAAAATTTTCGATAATTTTCTTTTTGTATAAAAAATTTTCGATAAATTTTCTTTTGTATAGAAAATTTTCGATAAATTTTCATTTTGTATAGAAAATTTCGATAAATTTTATTTTTATATAGAAAATTTTCGATAAATTTCTTTTTATATAGAAAATTTCGATAAATTTCCTTTTTATATAGAAAATTTTGATAAATTTTCTTTATATATAGAAAATTTCGATAAATTTTCTTTTTACATAGAAATTTCTATAAATTTTCTTTTTATATAGAAAATTTCGATAAATTTTCTTTTTATATAGAAAATTTTCGATAAATTTTCTTTTTGTATAGAAAATTTTCGATAAATTTTCTTTTTGTATAGAAAATTTTCGATAAATTTTCTTTTTGTATAGAAAATTTTCGATAAATTTTCTTTTTGTATAGAAAATTTTCGATAAATTTTCTTTTTGTATAGAAAAATTTTCGATAAATTTCTTTTTGTATAGAAAATTTTCGATAAATTTTCTTTTTGTATAGAAAATTTTCGATAAATTTTCTTTTTGTATAGAAAATTTTCGATAAATTTTCTTTTTGTATAGAAAATTTTCGATAAATTTTCTTTTTGTATAGAAAATTTTCGATAAATTTTCTTTTTGTATAGAAAATTTTCGATAAATTTCTTTTTGTATAGAAAATTTTCGATAAATTTTCTTTTTGTATAGAAAATTATCGATAAATTTTCTTTTTATATAGAAAATTTTCGATAAATTTTCTTTTTATATAGAAAATTTTCGATAAATTTTCTTTTGTATAGAAAATTTTCGATAAATTTTCTTTTTGTATAGAATATTTTCGATAAATTTTCTTTTTGTATAGAAAATTTTCGATAAATTTTCTTTTTGTATAGAATATTTTCGATAAATTTTCTTTTTGTATAGAAAATTTTCGATAAATTTTCTTTTGTATAGAAAATTTTCGATAAATTTTCTTTTTGTATAGAAAATTTTCGATAAATTTTCTTTTGTATAGAAAATTTTCGATAAATTTTCTTTTTGTATAGAAAATTTTCGATAAATTTTCTTTTTGTATAGAAAATTTTCGATAAATTTTCTTTTTATATAGAAAATTTTGATAAATTTTCTTTTTATATAGAAATTTTTCGATAAATTTCCTTTTTATATAGAAAATTTTCGATAAATTTTCATTTTATATAGAAAATTTTCGATAAATTTGCTTTTTATATAGAAAAATTTCGATAAATTTTCTTTTTATATACAAAATTTTCGATAATTTTTCTTTTAATTTTAATATAGAAAATTTTCAATAAATTATCTTTTTATATAGAAGATTTTCAATAAATTTTGTATAGAAAATTTTCGATAAATTTTCTTTTTATAGGAAATTTTCGATAAATTTTATTTTTATAGGATATTTTCGATAAATTTTCTTCTTATATAAAAATTTCGTTAAATTTTCTTTTGATCTAAAATTTTGGTTGAATTTTCTTTTTATAAGGAATTTTTGTTTATTTTTTTTTTTGATAAATCTTCTTTTTTCACTAAATTTTCGTTGAATTTTTTTTATATATTTTTAATAAATTCTTCAAATTCCAACTTACCTTATGATTAACCGTATCATCGAATGGTGGTAAATGTTGATGCGTCAAATGTGATGGCATTGCCCACCTCATCGTAATGATAGGAACGCCAACCATCATCATAATCATCTATTGTATAGCCAGCATCCTCTAAGGCATACATTTGTAAAGCTTCACGCGGTGGCCTATAGCCCGGATAGCCGCTGGGCGTTTGTGAACGACAATATTCCGATGATGCCAAAGCTCCATCGCCATAATAACCCGACCCCCTTGTTAAACTATACTCCGTATTGGCATAATCTTTACGACGCCTGGACTCCTCTACACGTCGCTGTGTAGTTTCGGGGTCCTCAAAGACATCATCACTCATACTGCTGGCATCGTCGGGAATTTGTGACATTGTTATTATTTTTGTTTTATTTTTACTTATTGCAATTTTAAGTTGATTGTTTTAAAGTTAAAGTTAATAAGTAATTAAATTAGTATAGTTGTTGTTTTGCAGTAGATATGTTAATTATAAGTTTAAGTTTATTTTTATTAAGATTGTTTTAAAGTTTTGGAAGGGGTGGGAAATATGTTTAGAGTTTTTAAATTTAACAGTTTATTTTTATACAATTAAAGCTCTATAAGCATTAAGGTACTAAATAATATGTTTGCTATAATGTTTCTTAGCATTCAAAGCTATTTTGCAGCTTTTTTAAGTTTATGTTTTAATAAAGCTTTTTTCACAATTTTAGCCTAGTAAGCATCCTTTTTGTTATTGGTCCTTTTTAACGTTATTTTTTTAGGTTCGTAAGAGCTTTTTTGGTGGTGTTGTGTGTTTGCTAAAAATTAAATCGTTTAAAGTTAAGCTTTTAAATTAGCTTAAAAAGCTTTTTAAGAGTTGCCAAATTATTTCAAATTATAAATGGAAATCTCTAAAATAGAGACAAATTTTAAACAGTATGAAATACTATAGACTTGTGTAAAACCAAGGCAAAGATTAGTCTATTCCATAAACAAGAGCATACAGTTGTAAATAGTAATATCAATAGACTAATCAATACTAGTCCATTGACTGGCCCAAAAACTAGTCAATAGAACAGTCCAAATATTGGACAATAGATTAATACATAGGTAGTCAATTAATAGACTAGTCACTAGTCCATTGACCTGTCAAAAAACTATCCAATAGAGTAGTGAATAGACTAGTTCATAGCCTAGTCCATATAATAGTCATTAAACTAGTTCATAGCCTAATCCATAGACTAGTAATAGACTAATCCAATAGAGTAGTTCATAGCCAGTTCATAGCCTAGTCCATATAATAGTCAATAAACTAGTTCATAGCCTAATCCATAGACTAGTAAATAGACTAATTCATAGGCTAGTCAATTTACTAGTCCAAGGACTAATGAATTTAATAGTCTATAGACTAGTCCATAAATTGGTCAATAGCCTATAGCTCGTCCACAGACCAATCAGTAGACTTACCTATATAGTAGTCATTAATGTAGTCCACAAACCAATCAAAAAACTAGTCCATAACCTATTCCATAGACTAGTTCAAAGACTAGTATATTGATTGGTGCATAGACCAATCCATAGACTTACCTATATAGTAGTCATTGATCTAAACCAGTCAAAAAACTAGTCCATAGACTGACTAGTCAATAAAATAATCCAAAACTCGTCAATAGACAAATCCATAAACAAGTCAGTAGACCGGTCAATAGACAAGAGGGATCAATAAACTAGGCAATACACTATCCCATAAACTAGTCAATAGATTTGTATATAGACTTGTTCATATAGTAATCAATAACCTAGCACATACACTACTCCAAATATTACTCCATAGGCTAATTCAAAGACTAGGCTATAGGCTAGACTAGCCCATAGACTAGACAATAAACTATCCATAGAATAGTCAATAGTCTAGGTTAAAACTTGTCAATGGAATAGTCCATAAACTAGTCAATAGACAAGACCATGGAGTGATCAATAGAATAATAATAATAATAATAATAATAATACTAATAATAATAATAATAATAATAATAATAAATAATAATAATAATAATAATCATAATAATAATAATAATAATAATAATAATAATAATAATAATAGACTAGCCCATATACTTATCCATAGACTAGTTCATAAAGTTGTCAATGGAATAAGCCATAAAGTAGTCCATAGGCTAATCAACAGACTAGACCATGAAGTGATCAATAGACCAGTCCTTATACTGTCCATACACTAGTCAATAGTCTTGTACAGAGACTAGTCAATAGACTTGTCCATAGACTAGTTAACAGACTAGTTAGTCCATTGACCAGTCAATAGGCTAGTCCATAGACCCAGTTAAAATACAAGTACATAAAGTAGTCAATGGACTAGTCAAGAGCCTAGACCAGTAGATCAATAAACTAAACTATTCACTGGACTAGTACATAGACTAGTTCATAGATAATCAGCAGACTAGTCCAAAGACTTTTCAATCGGCTGGTCAATAAGCTAGCCTAGACTGTAGGCTAAAGCCATTAAACTAACCGATAGACTAGTCCATACATTGGTCAATGATTAGTTCATATACTAGTCAATAGATTAGTCGAGACCAGTCAATGGACTAGACCATAGCCTATTCAATAGACTAATCCATAGACTAGTCAATAAACTAATCCATAGACTACTCAATAGTCTAGTTCATAAGTTGTCAATAGAATAGTCCATAAAGTAGTGAATAGGTTAGTTAACAGACAAGACCATGAGTGATCAATGGAACAAAAAATAGACTAGTCAATAATCTAGCCCATAAACCAGACAATAAACTAGTCAATAGACTTGTGAAAATACTTGGTTATATACTAGTCAATGGACTATTTCATTGACCTGTCAATAGTTTGTTCATTGATCATTCAATAGACTATTCCATAGAGAATTCAAAAGACTACATAATCCATAAAGTAGTCAATAAACCAGTCCAAAGACTAGTCAATAGGCCGAATCCATAAAGTAATTCAATAGGACTATTCCATAGACTAGTCAATAGACTAATACATAGACTAGTCAACAGTCTAATCCATAGACCAGTAATAGACTATTCCATAAAGTAGACTAGTCAACATGTCATTGATTGATCAGTTCGTCCAATCAATAGACCAGTCCATAAAGTACTCAACAGACTAGTCCAAAGATTAATCTATAGGCTAGTCCAAACACTAATCAATAGGCTGGTCCAAAGAGTCAATAAACTCTTCCATAAAGCTGAAAATTACATTAAGTAGTCAGTAACTAGTCAAACAAACAAGACCATAAAGTAATCATTAGTAAAAAAACATTTATAATCACAAATAATCTGGCAACTCTACAGCTCTCAAAGCTTTGGTTTTTCTTACTCTCTTAAAAGCTTTTATCTCTTGCTTTTGTTTAACAACGGTTTTGTCAACAGTGAACTAATTTCCTTAGGAAAATTTTGCGAGCTGGTTCAAAATTTCTTGCACTAATATTAATAATAATTAATATATTTTGTTTAAGAACTTCATTGTATTATTTTCACTCTATAATGTTAGTTTTGAGTTAGTTTTTAGAATTTATTTAGATTTAAAGAATTATTTATTTGTTTTCTTTTTAACCACTCTCTTATACATATTTGACACAATTTGTGTTTCTTTTTAGACATGTGTTGAGAAGAATAAGAGAGCTAAGCTAAGTTTTTGACACTATAGTAATTTTTCTTGTTGTTGTGTTGTTTTTTCTTTTTTTTTTTTTACTTTAAACGTTACTTTTGTTTTGGCAGTTATATTCGTGCACAATTGTTATTGTATGAAGTTCCTTTGCTATTTATTAGTTTTGTTGTTGTTGTAATTGAATGCGTAATAGAGTTAATAGAGTTGGAAACAGATTTATTTCTTTTATGGTTTTGTAGGGTTATTTTTGAGTTACAAAGTTATTTATTATTATTCTGTATAGTTTTGTTTATTTTATTTTGGCTACATTTGACATTTGCAATGTACTTGTCAAAGATTTTTTTGTTTTTTTATCAAAGTTGAAAGGTTAAGTTTAGCTTTAGAGTTTTTAAATTTATTTTTATTTAATTTAATTATTTATATAATAAATTCCCTAAATAAATATTCGTTTCTTTAGTTTCCGTTCAAATGCCTTTTTTTAATTTATATGAGTTATATTAATGTTTTATTAATTAAATAAATAGTTTACTAAATATTTTATGTTTGTATATGTTTCTATATAATAATTAATAATAATTTATTTAAAACTACAAAAATTGGTGTTGTCGTTAACTGCTAAAGCACTATATTTTAGGTTTTTTTTTTTAATTTTTGGGGTTTTTTATTTACATTTCAAATTGCTTTAGGGTTTTTATGGTTTTAGGTATTTTTTTTTGTTGAAGTTAAGTGGTCTTAACTCTAGGGAGAATACATATGGTTATTGTATTTTCATGTCATGGATTTTTTGCTTTTTTACTTAAATTTTATAACAATTTGTTTGATTTTTTGTTTGGTCATATATTTTTATTTTTCTATTACACTATCACAGGGTATATTTAACTCTACGTGGGAACTTTTAATTTTTTTTACATATTTCTAGTTAATTTTTCATATTTATATTATTATTTCTATAGTATTTAATAATTTTCTAGTTTTTTTTCTTCTGTTTCGTTTTTGTCCTTTAGGGAATATTTGTGTCTATAAATTGTTTGTGGATGTGTTTATTATACCATAAGGCTTTTTTTTAACACTACCCTTCCACCTTTGGTATATAATTTTATAATATTTATCTATAGGCCATGTTCTTGTTATTCGTTTTTTTTATAATTTATACATTTCAAACAAACGTTAACATTTATTATTTCACTTAAAATAATTCATTTTATTAATTAGCCCATTTTTTCCTATAATTTAATCGCTTTTTTTCTATTTAATTTTCATTCTTTCTCTATTAGTTAGTTGTTTTTCCCGTTAAATCTACACTTGTACTAATGCCTTTGACATTTCGGCAATACATTGACCGACATTTTTTGAGAGAGCAAAAGCAAATAGTAGACAAACATAAATATTGCTTAAATTTCCTTATTTCTATGAAAAAATACAGCCCTACATGTGCCGTTATCTGATTTCCTGTGAGAGCTTTTCAAACGCAACGAATTGAGCACATGAGAGAAGTGGAAAATGTCAATGAATGAAATGCGGTAAAGAGTTGCCATATTGTTTAAACTATTGTTTAAATGAAAAGTAGGGCAATTTGTTATTAGTGCAGGTGGAGAGGTTAGGGCAATGGTTAGAAATATGTAATAAATTTTTAGTTTCGAAATCCCAATAGAGCAATAATGGGGAAAATTGTGTAAAAGTTTTAGTTTTTAATATATGTATATCTTAAGAGGAGATATATAGTTAGTA